TGAACGCTTAAATTAGAACAATGTAGAAAAGATGCAAACTTCAAAATAAACATTTTCCAAAGTCCGAATTGATCAATTATTTTTTCTCACAATATTGACACTGGATTCTTTTGAACATCTCAACTAGCAAAAGACTACCAAGCCGCAGTGGGAAATTCTATAACATTTGAAAAGTGTACAAAATCACTGATAGCGACTATAATGCGGCCAGTTGCGGCACAAATCGGAAACATTCTGTTCTTAAACAGAGAGTACCACATACAACCGAATCAACAGAAATTGAAAGTTATTGAAAACGAGATTTGCTGAGAGGCCACGTTGACGAAAAATCATTACATACCACATCAGAATTGCTTACAAGAACCTTTTAATGTTCAAAATAGGAATCATCAGCTTCTGTGAAGAGCAGAAAACGCTGGTTTATCGTAAATGGATTTAAAATAATGCTAATCAATAATATATCGAAAAAATTATCCAAACTTAATGTATAACTTAAAGTTTTGAAAATTTATATGCGTGTGTGTGCTGTGTATAAGATAGAGGCACAATTTTATGACTTTCACAATTTTTTTGTGATATACTTTCTCTACTGAAACGCCAACGGTTACCGTTTGTTATACAGCAAATATGCTTGAATTAGAAATTTAAATTTGAAGTCATGTAGCATTTTCAAGATTTTGGAATACAATTTTAGAAAACGTGGTTCTGTAATTTATACTGAATCTTAGTCGACGTGTACGCATGTACGGAGAGGATTGAAAAATGAATTTAAATGTAAAAAAATGTAATTAATTTAAAATGTCCTGGTATGAAGAGAGAAACCGATACCCGTACAAACGAGTCCAAAGCGAATCCATAAACGATAACGCATATGTATCATGGTGTTATAAACATACGGGTATAAATTCTTGAGCAAAAACAAACAAACTCATACAAATTTACATATATATATATATATATATATATATATACTAATGCTTACTGTAGCCATCCCCCTTTTATTATATATCTATATACATGTATATATAATATAT